TGGGTCCAGGCAGGTGGGGCGGGAACCCGGGCTCGGGGAAGCCTAGGGCTTCACCGACGTGTGGGAGCTGGCGGTGGGGGTCTGGAGTGGATCTGGGGGCAGGACCGTTGTAAGTAAAGGGACAGATTATAAAACAGTTTGTATAAAAATACAAAACTCGTTTTTGTTAAAAATACAAACGGATGTATTTGCATCAGAAGAGGTCTAAAAAAGTGTACGCCAAAACGTTAGCAGTGGTTAACTGTAGTGATATTTCCAACGAGTTAATTTTTCTTTTTTCTGTTTAATATCCCGATTTTCAAGATTGAGTATAATTTTTTAAATTATACTGAACTCGGGGTTCAAGAGGAGGTATGGAGGAAAAGGCAGGGGTGGGTCTCAGGTGAGAGGTGGGGGTGGACTGCAGCAAGCAACTGGTGGTAGAGAACAGTACACGACTGTTTGATGGATAGAATGGGCTCTGAGGTCCTCAAGAGAATTTTTGTAGAAATGACTTTAGCTCACACTTGCTGAGCACGTGAGCATTTAATTCTCCTAAGAGCCATATGTAGGTACTACTGTTATCCTTATTTTGCAGATGAGGAAGCAGCTATAGAGAGGTTAAGCAACTTACCTTAAGTAACAGCCAGGTAGTGGTGGAACTGGCATTCTAACTAGACGGTCTCACTGCAGTTTATTTTTGTATGTTTGTGTCTCTTCATGTATTTAGAAGAAAATTTTTGAGACTCATGTTTTATGATTTAATATTTTTATTGCTAAGTAGTACATTTAATGGATCCTGTCTATATTTTTAACTAAGGAGAAGAGCAATTGGTTACACCTATACATGGGAGCCATTTTTAGAAATGGCTTACATTTCTAAATTACAGAAAACCACATGAAAATTTTTTTTAAAAAGAGGGATCTAAAATGTCAGAGTAGCAAAACAAGTGTTTCCTTCCTTCACAGTTCTTTCTGGCCCTTTCTTATACCATGTATATAATAAATTTTATATATATGTGTGTGTGTGTGTGTGTGTGTGTAAAACACTTCATTGCTTAAATTCTCTACTCTGTGTCAGGCATAGTACTAAGTCCAGAAAATTTTTTTAAAAAAAAGTTTCTGCTCTCAGGTAGCTCAGTTTCCACAAGATATTCCTGTAAACTGATGATTGCCGTGGTGTGCAGAGTTCAGTGAGAAGTTCAAGATGAAGGCCCAAGAAAGAAAATTTAAACAGCCTAAATGAGTCCTTGCCCAAGGTTTCATGAGAAATAAACCCTTGAGCCAAGGCCCGATGGTTGAGCAGGAGTTTGCCTGGTTGATGAGAGTAGGGGAGCTTTCCAGGCAGAGGGAACCACTAAAGAATTATAAACTGCAGAGAAACTCAAACATAGTACATACTATGCATGTATTATGCATCAAATGCCATTCTAAGTCCCTTATAGCAATTCATTTAAACCTTATAATGAATGGCCCCATGAGGAAGCACTAGCATTGCCCCTATTTTACAGATGAAGGCTCTAAAAGAGGTGTTAACTTCCAAAATCACACAGCTATAAAGTAATCATTGGAACCCAAGGCAGCCTGACTTCAGAGTCTATTGCTCTTAACCCCTGTACTCAAAAAAAAAAAAAAAAATTATTCCGTGGAGAATTAGAAATGTATGAAAAGCCATTTGGAAACCACTGGAATAGTCCAGGCCACAAATAATTAGGGCCTGAATTAAGTTGAGAGCCAAGGAGGTAGATAACAGGACAGATAGGAGATGGGAGAATTAATAGGACTTCGTGTCCAATTGTTAAGGGGGTGAGAAGTTAGGGATGATGTCAGGTTTCTTGTTTGAATGATCAGATAGTTGATGCCACTAGTCAAGAGGGAATACAGGGTTAGCGGAAAGGATGTGTCAGGGAGGTTGTCAGGATAATATTTTTTAACATTGATTCTGTGTTTTTATGTATTGCTTCTTTGTCAGTAGGCACTTATTTCTTCAGTTTTTGTCTTTTCCCTCTCTTCTTCACCAGCCTTCTCCTTTTTATTCTTCCAGGCCCTATTTTTCTCCTTTTTCCTTGTCTCTACTTGTGAAATTAAGACTAATCGTAGCATTCAGGATGATTAAGTTATTCATCCCCATGCTAAACTCATTCAATAATCCCACCTCTAGAGAAACAGGGAACAGCAGCAGGAAGATGGGAAGAGTAACAAACATTTTATCTTTTTTTCTGCACTCTGTAAAGGAGCTAACAAGAGATACAGATATGAAGAGTATTTTTAAGAACTCAGTGGACAACCTAGCCCCCAACCCTTACATGGCCAGGACTGATAATGGTTGGTGCATTGTGTCTTCCCAATTCTACAGTCAGTAGCTTGAAATGGGCCACAGTGGGAACATTTACACCACAGAAATGGGCAAATTCTGCAAATCAGGGCTTTGTTGGCTGTGGGGGTGGAAACAAGTCATTAACATTTACCAGCACACCACCAATTTGGGCTTTCATGAAGATGAACATCCACATATTCTTCTCATGCCAGTCATTAGCACAAATCAGGGTTTTCCAACTTTGGCACATTTAGAGGTAGATAATTTTTTGTGGTGGTAGCTTGTCCTGTGCATTGATGTTTAACAGGATTCTGGCCTGTACCCACTACAGTAGTCCCTCCTTATCCTCAGGGGATATGTTTCAAGACCTCCAGTGGATGCCTGAAGCCAGGGGTAGTACCAAACCCTTTATATGCTATGTTTTCTCTGTACACATATACCTGTGATGGTTTAATTTGTAAATTAGGCACAGATATTAATAAAATAGAACAATTATAACAATATGCTGTAATAAAAGTTATGTGAATGCATCTCAAAATG